CCCCCAAAACCCCAAAACCCCAAAACCCCATAAAGATGTATAAAACTGAAAAGTAATTAATATTATTCAAGTTGATGCAGATGCCAACAAAGAAAAAGGAAAGTCTGACAGGAACACAGAAGTTAGCGAGAATCAGGAAAGTTTACTCTATCAATTCAGATCGAGGCAGATCTGTTAAGAGTTGTGAGAGAGAAAGATGCTCACTATCTAATGGTGGTAAGTTTAAAATTTCACTTGATCCAAGACATCACTAGTAAATGCTATCTTCGGGCTTGCTCCCTTTTCATTTCAGATTTACTCAAAACATGATAACAAAGCATACATTTTACTTTCGCTCTGAACCCAGCATAATTTGAAGCCAAGTCTCACTAATTTTAGGAAACGCCTTACTCCCAAGAAGACAAAGAATTGATAGAGATTTTGATAGGATACAGAAGACGCTGAGGAAGGACAGTGTAGACCCTGAGATGGGGTCGAAGCTAATCCAGACTAGTGATGCCTTGACAAGCAAAGAACTGAGTCAGAATCCTTCCCAAAAAGAGAGTATTCATGCTACACTTAGAAAGAAGTTTAGTAAAAGTAAGATACATCATCTAAGATACAGAGCCAAGTCATGGAGCCAGTAACTCATTCATCCCAACTCTGACTCATGAGGAAGACTTCGGCAATAAGGTCACTTGTGCTTATGCTACTAATGAGGAAGACTATGGCTGCAAGATCAAGGAGCATGATGAACTTGCAAGACTCCCAAACTTTATTGGCCGGGCTTTGGAGAATCTTGAGAATTCACTTGACTCTCTTAATGTTGACAAGAAGAATACAAAGAAGAAGGCCAACTTATCTTCCTCAAGAACAAGATCTAAGAACAGGTTTGGGTCCATTGATCCGATCATCAGATCTAACAAGAAGGGAAAGCTAAATAGAATCTTTTTTAGAAAAGAGAAACTCAGGATCCAAGGAAGAGAGCTTGTCAAAGCCACTGAACAGATTCAAGTAAGCCGCTGAGCCTTAGGCCTCTCAAATGTTTGATGACTTTAATCCTGCTTTTTAGGCCAGAATCAGCTCTGTACAGAGAAAAGTAAGAGAGGACTACATGACAATGAAGAAGGATCTGACTAAAAAGTGCAAGGATCTTAAATAAAGAGTACGAATATATGAAAAGAAAGAACATCAAGCTTGAAGAAAGGAAGAATGCTCAAAGTGAAGAGTTTAGCAAGAAAATCACTCAGCTTAAGAAAGCCAACATTGCTTCAACACAACAGCTGCAGGATACTAAGTGTGCAATTAAGAAGCTTCAGAAGGAAAATGCATACTTAAGCGATATTGACAGTCACCTTAAGCAGATATGTGATGTAATTGGTAAGTCTTAAACCATCTTTATATCTTATCTGCATAAATTTTTGTCCTCTCCTCTTCTAAACCTTCGTTCGGTTCCAATGTAATCATCACACAATTCCTTGGTTGACAATATCTTCTCTTTAGACCAGCACAACGCTGAGATGTACTCAACTGATAGAGAATACAAAGCTTTCTTTGACAAGAAGGGAAATTGCCATCGCTCAGAAGTCCTCCATAAACTCTTTGAGGTCATGCAGAACAAGATACATCAAGAAAGGGTTGCTAAAGAAGCTGCTCTTGGAGAGTTAGAGAAGGCCAAGACTCAGCATATCAGTACAACTAACTTTAAAGGTGAGATTTCATTAAGTTTTTACTAAGTTATTATTTTTGAAATCCCAGAAATCATTACCTTCTAGGATTTGGACATCAACATTTTCCTGGACCAGATGAAAGCGTTGAGAAGCCCAGAAATTACAACATCAACCCTGAAGAGTTTGGAAGCAGCATGGATATCTACCTTAACCCTAGCAGAGTCAGCGTTGAACAGTTAGGTGTAAGCAAAGAAGGTTTAGCATAATTTAGGAAGTAAGTCCAGAGATCATCCAAACAGAAGAAGACTGTAAGAAATTCTTTGAAAGTCAGTTTAACTCCAGAGGCCAGACAGAGGAATAGGACAAGTATATCTCTAATTATTTTGAATTTCAGTTGCTATCCTTTCTTGAGCCTAGCTGTATTCAGCAGTCTATACTATATCATTGGTTCTCTTTGAGTAAGCTCAATAAGAGCGTTCTAGGTTATTAATTTTGCGATCTCCTTCTGACATTAAATTAAAAAATATTGTATGGGGTTTTGGGGTTTTGGGGTTTTGGGG